CATTCACATACTTTAAATATTACATACGTCTCTATTATTATCCCAATATCTTCCACAATTATACCTGCAAACCGATTTATTCCTGTTTAAAAGCGTCCCTATAAGTCTCTATCATCTATCAAGACTCGAATCAGATGAACTGGTTGCAACGTCGTGGTCCAAGCTAAACGTTCCTCCCCCTCGTAAGTCACGGTTGATACGGACGGTTCAATAATTAACCCGGCGTGGAAATCGGTTATCGAGATGATATTATTCGACCTCTTGCCACCTCTATAATACCCAGGCGAGCTCGAAATGTTCGAACGAACGAGCCGTGCCGCCATTTCACCTCGGCCGGATTCAATTTAGATGTAAAATTTAGAGTGGTGGTCGCGCCACCCCCTCCCCCCTTCGGCCGACGAATTCCGCATTATTATAATAGACCGTTGGTAATGGCTCGAAAATAAAGAGGCAAGGGGTAATGGAGAAACCGGATAGTGGAAGGAGTGGCGCACCTTTGGATCGAGGATATACGTATATAGGAGCCATAAACTTCATTCCTCCTCGCTCCCTCCGTTTCACCCTCGCCCATCCCCCGTTCAAATCCTCATGTGTTTCTTATTCCACGATGAGCGTGGTTATAACTTGACGATGTTCGTTCTCCCGCTTGGAAATGAAATTGACGAAGTGACGTTTATTATTTCTCGGTCGAGTTATTATTACCGTTCTTTTGATGTATTTTATGAGATGTGTAAAACACGGAATGATTATTTTTGAATTATTGAGATTGTTAATTAATTCTTAAGGAAATTTTTATTTTTATTTCGTTTTAAATGGTAATTTTTTGAACAATAATGTAATTGAAAGATTATATTATTTTAAAGTATATATATATATTTTTTTTTAAATTTTTTTATATATCCTACAATTCTTAGGTTTTAATTTTATTAGATGTGAGAAATGTTTGCTTTTATAGATAGATATAACTTTGAAAATTTGTTGAAGAAGAAAGAACATTAGATGATATTTTAAAATTTATTGAATCATTTTAAATATACTTTGAAATCATTTATGATAAGAAATTTCTAAAAAAAATAATTGTGCGATAGATATAGAATACTATAAATTAAGAAAGTAATTTTTATATGAATATTGCAATGTTTCAAAATGTTTTAAAAATATTTTGCTTATCACTTAATGTATTCTAAATGAAGAAAAATATTCGATATTAAATTCGATATTGCTTCGACATCATATATTTTATTATTTTATTTTAATTTAATTTTTGAAACAAATTTTGCTCCTTTTTTTTCAAACTAACTATCTATTCAATAATTTATATCTCACATATACATATACTTTTCCTATTTTAAATATTGTTTTCCATTTAAAATTTCCACGTTATTATTTATCAAAGTTGCGATCAGGAGTCAAAATACAGAAATATAATTAATTATTCTCAGAAATGTGCGAATATGAACGATAATTTCAATAATAATGATTATTATTAAATAATACAAAATTGAACATAATTAATATAATATCCTTGGTAATATTAATAATTGTCATTATCATATGGTAATCATTTACTGTGAGAGAAAGAGAGAAGAAGAAAGAAATGAATTTGAAGTTTCGTAATTTTCAGATTATTTGATATTAAATAAAAACTTTACAATTATATTAATATAATAATGATTAATAAAATGTATTAAAAATAAACAAACAAAAATATGTATATTTCTATCTTTATTATTATCGTATATTGGATTTAAAAAATGAATTTGGAGAATGAAAATTATAAATAGAAAAATACATCAGAAATTCATTCTATTTATGAACAAAAAATTTTTTAATACATTGCTATTCGAAAAATATTATTAAGAATAAAATAATATTGAAAAATTTAACTGAAATTTCATTTGAATAATTACATAAATAATTTCGACCTCAATCAATTCTATTCTGTCTTAAATAGTATAATTACAATAACATTAACTTGTACATCAACGACTTCACAGAAAAAAAAGATAAGTCCTCTCGTTATTTATTTAACATCTTATTTTATTCCAATATTTCTCAATTTTAAAAATATCTCCACAATTCTCATATCCAATGTTATATTTTCTACACACACATATACAATAATAATAATAATAATAATAAAGAAACACGCAACGAATAACAAAATAAGATTTTCTACAATTTTCTTACCTGTCCTTAACATTCTCCAACACTCTCAACACAATGTAACAGGGAAAATAAAGAGATATTTTACAAGATTAAACGTTCTCCTTCCTGAAATTGACGGAGGGACAATGGAGTCACCAGGCGAAAAAAGCTCTGTTGTCCGTGTGCCAGCTTCAGGTGCAAGCCCGTGAACTTTTTTCGACTTTTGCGAACGTAATCCGCAACCACGAGTCGTATTGTCACGCTACTTTTGCCTCGACGCGTTAAAAAATTTCTACCATATCCGTGTACATTGTTGCCGATCTAAGGAATCGTATGATAGAATCGTGGATACGTTTTGATCGAGATCTTGGTGGTTATATACGAAGCTGAGGAAACGAATAATTTTTCTACTCTTTTATTATTATTATTATTTTTATTATTATATATATGTATTTCTTGAAATTATTGATTTTGAAATTTTGACTCGTTCGACATTCGCGACATCTTTGAAATTTCTTCGAAATTTTGGATATGTTGAACAAGATTAACGAGAAATGATTTATTTTATCGTTATCGTTAGCCATTTTTGAAGGAATATTCGGAACGCGATTAAAGTCATTTTGATTTGATGGAGTTCGATTTGGATTATCATACGCGTCCATTAGGCGCACAATGACATTTCATTCGGTTAATATATTTACGAAAATGTATTTGATCGTAGGGACGCAATGAGCGGCAAGAATGTGATTAAATCGCGTAATTTTATTTCCATGGTGTTTCGACATTTTCGATTTGAACACAAGTTCTTGTGATGTTGCCATTAACTCTAATTATTGCTTTACGAAAGCAATGGACGTGTTGTTGTACTGCTCGAATGATGGGATTAAAATCGATTTGTTTCTATTATTTTTCCTTCTTTTTAATATAAATATATGTATTTGTATGTAATAATAACGTTTGCACGAGAAATTTATTAAACGAAAATTAATGGCTTCAATATGAAAAATTATTAAAGATTGGCAATATCAATGGATTTTAATTATTACATGGTTTTTTGATACTTTTATTTTTTATTATCTTTGTTTTTTTTCTTATACGTATAAATTATATTTAGTAAATAAAAATGAGAGTTCGTTTAACAAAGCAATCAGCAATTGTTATCAATTATGAGATATGTAATTTTATGATTTTATTAAATATTTACAACGAATATTTTGTTATAGAAAATTGTAAATCTATTTAATAAAAATTAGAGATACTAAAATATTTTTCTCTCTTCTTAGAAATAGAAAAAAAGGATTGTTATTATTATTAATTTTTCAATTATAATTTTTTCAAAAGAAACTTTTTAAAGATAAAACAATTTATTAATTATTTTAATGAAAATATATTTTTCGCGATGTTTTTGTAAAGAAAATAATAACGTATTAAAATTTGAGATCTGCAAATTTCATTGAAGAAGTTTCACTGGAAAAACATTTTATTTATTTTCTAGCTATTTAATAACTAACAATTAAATTACAAAACATGAGATATGAGAAATTCTCGATGATGGATAAATGATGGATGATTGCTTAATATGATTTTATGTAACAATATATGATTCGTTTGTTTTTATTTTTATTTTGAAATAATCTTTGTTTTTTGAAAGATTGATTTCATAAAATTGTATTTTTTTTTTCATATCTTTGGTATTTATCAAGGATAAAAGAAATTACTTTTTAATTCTAATAATCATTTTAAAACAAAAAAATTTATAATGAAACGTATTCAATATCTTATTTTTACAAAAGAAATTAAATCCCAATAAAAGATATTAATGTTGAAAGAAATAATATGATTTTTTCAGAACAGTATTTTGGAAGAACTATTGCTCGAGATTTTTTTTTATTTCTTAGCAAACGAATTAACGAATTTATCTTAATGAGAAATTCGATGGTAAACTTGAAGCAGTGGTACATACCGTGCATTAATTGGAACAAACAAATTATACGTAATTTGAAGCATTATTGTATTAAGCAATTAATGTATGAATCTGATTTTCAATTACTTTTGCATGTTCTTTTTCTCTTCCTTCTTTACTTTAATAATTATATACAATTGGAGGATTGGTATCGATTGGAGAAATTTCCTGGATTTTTTCTTTTTTTTTACTTTTATGCACAATCTAAATATACTATTCAACAGAATATTTATATTCTCCTTTAACCTTACGATACGTTTTAATTAATTAATACTTTTACGAGATTAATTTTTAAATTTAAATCCTCCTCAAAAAACGAAATAATATTAAAATGAAAATTTTTAATATTAATAAGTATTTCAATTTTAAGTAATTTTTATACTGAATATTTTTTTAATTATTATTAGAGTAATTAATATTAATTTACAATTTAAATTAAATTACTCATTTTTATTACGTTATTTTAAATTTTTAAAGAATTGATATAAGAATTGAGAGAATCAAAATGTTAATACAAATGAATTTCTCTAAAATAAAATAAATACAAAATATTTACAAAATTTGTATCTACTTCTTACAAAATGACAGGTTTAAAATCCAACAACAAAAAGAAACATATATTTTTTCCAATACAATAAATAATAATCATTAAATCAAAATTTTTATTTCAATATTTAACTTCCAAATAGTATAATGATGAAGACAAATATAAATATAATCATTATTATATCAAAGAAAAAAAAGAAAAAAAAACTCTCACGCGTACAAATAAAGAAAAATACATACATCTCGACAATCACTACTACTCTTTCTTCACATTCTCTTATCAGAGACATGCACACGTCCAATAATTTTTCTTTAATTATCACATTAACCACTTCTGTTCCAGCACCACTGTAGAAACTGCGGCAAGATCTTCTGCAACGCTTGCAGCGACAACACCACATCCCTGCCGAATTCATCGAAACCTGTACGCGTGTGCGACGAGTGTTACGTGTTCCTGGTCGGCCGTTACACGTGTGCACGCTAGCGCTAACGTCCCACGACCGGTTGTCCATCGGCCGTACGCTCGACGTGGCCGATTTACCCGAGAGCGAGAACGGGCAAACAATGGAAGAAAGGATCTATCCTGCACATATACTCTCTTACACACACACATACACACACACACACACATGTACACACGTAAGATGTTTCTGCTATCCTCGAAGACCGCTTCCTTCTTCGATGCCGTTCATTTTCAATTCAGCGCACGCGGTTGTTGTTCGAAAAGGTGTCGATCGACGAAGCTACATCGCCTCGAGTCCAATTCCTTTCATCGCAATATCATCGTGCGACGTTTTGTAAAAGATTTGGGAAAAAATTACACGACGAGAGGGATGGCCGGCCGCCATTTTGTCGCGCGACGAAAGCCTCGAGACTTCCGTCGAGATGGAAAAAGTGTTTGCATTTTATATTTTGACGAGATAATTTTGGGATATATTTTGGATATATTTGATTGGGCATTGGATGAGTTGTTCGTAACTACAGTGTGTATATTGATGTATATGTGGTTGAGACGAAACGAAATGTTTTGGAAAGTGATCGTATTGAGAATTGGTTGAGAAAATTATTATTATCATTATTTTTATTATATTATATTATATTAAGATTAGAATTTTTGTAAGTAGGAGACATTTGAAGGTCGAGATTGTTTTTTAAAAGTAGAATTATAATATTCAGTTTTATCGTATTGTTATAAATATTATTTATGTTATTTTAATTATAAATATATTTTTTAATGCATGAATTAATTTCGTTATATTTCGTGGAAAATGAAGATTATATATTTTATAAATGGAATGTTAAGGGCCAAAAAAATACTTGACAAAAAATGTTATCAGATTTACTGAAAGAAGTATTAAATATATAGTATGTATGGATACGTGGTATCAACATGATGGATGTCCTGTTCGCTATGCTAGGATATCGAGAGAAACGTCAAATAATAGTTTTCTATTATCGTTTTACCATTATTATTCTCCAGAGAAATAACGTGTAAGAAAAAGAAATATGTATTTTTAAATAGTTACGTGAACTGAATACCATCTTTCAATATTTTAATTAACAGTTACAATGACTGGATTATTTTTGACCTAGACGATTTGATAATCGATAATGAAAATTAAATAATCTTTTTGATATGTGTCACTTTTCCCCCAACCATCGAATCCGAGAATTGAAATATCTTTTAAATAGTTTTTAGATTTAAATTAAATTTAGTATTTTATTTTATGAAGAATGATGAACTGAATTGATTCATGTATTGAAAAATGTATAATTTTATTTAGAAAAAAATTTGACTTTGAAATGTCTTCTACCAAATGTTTATTTATAAAAATTTAACTCTTGAAACATTTTTCAATACAATCAAAATTTTTGATATTTCAAATTCCAATCTTAAGTGTCTTATTCTATAGAGTTCAGAATTAGCTAATTAAAAAAGTTTTATCTGTGATTTTTTTATGATAGAAAAATATTCTATGACTAATTTAAGATTAAATAAAATTATTTTTTTTTTGTATTAATTAATAAAATATTAAAATAATATAAAAACAAATAAAAATATTGGGAAATAATAAATACAAGACAATTCATAAATTATTAATATTTTAAAAATAAGTAAGGTTGTAGAATATTAAATATTTTATTTCATCTTTCATCAAAAATGACTTGTATAAAAATATTACAATGATGTTAGACTACAATTGACAAGAAGGAAATTTTGTGTATATTGTTATTGTCATAAATAAAATATTTTTTTTTTATTATATTTACTTTCTATCATAAAAAAACAACAGAAATTTTTTAATTATCTAATCGTTTCTGTATTAAAATTGTATTTTATTATATCATTAGATGAATTGTTAATAAAACTTATATTATAGCAAAATATTTATAAAGAAAAGGAATAAAAGAAATATTTATAAAGAAAAAGAATTAAAAAGTACGAATTAACTAAAAAACTATTAATTTTTTGAATTATCTACAATGAAAAGTTATGTATAATTCAGTCCAACTTCAATTTGAATAAAATTTTGTAGATTTGAAAAACATTTAAAAATATCTAAGTATGAATTTCTTTTAACTGCAGTAATTAAAATTATCTTTCAAATTTCTAAGTGAAAAATTTTAAAAATCATATATTGTACAATTTTCCTTAAAAGAATTTTTTCATACTTTCTTACAATTTTTATTTATTCTTCAAGCCTACAAAATTTTATCAAAAAGCTGGACTGTTTGCGATATTTCCTTGTCAATGTTGACTATTCAATGATTAATAAGACAAATTTTTATTATTAAAAATTTAATTAATTCTGGGACAGAGGACAACAAGTTTGATTGTGATTATGAATTCCAAGAAAGAAATGTTTTATGGATAAATAAATAAAAGTGCAAATACTTTTCACATCCGCTCCATTGAAAGTAATCTTCATTCCTTTCCGTTTTGAAAGCACGAGCGAGAAAAAATTTCAATCATCGAATTTTCGCTGTTAATCGTATGTAAGCAATATACAAATAATGTAATATATACGTTGCTATATACGTTTTTCCGTTTCTCGAATTTTAGATGTTCGTTAGTTCCTTTTTCGCGGTGGATTGTTATCGAGAGACGCTTTGACAAATGTTAATATAACAAGTATTTTATATTCAGATTATTATACGAGTATCCGCCCTTGGATTGGAGTTGTGAAAGAATTTCGAAACGTGTGCCTGTACAATGATATTTTTCAAATGTTCTGTAGTGTCATGGAAATATTTTATGCGAATAAAAGGCTGGTTTTATATTTTCCATCTTGTCATTTACTTCCCTGTGTATTTATGTGCGGTTCTTCGTCAGTAGTGCGGATCAATGATATCTCAGACTTCAAAAACAAATCATAAATCGTAAATGAGAATTTGTGTTTAAATTAAAAACGTGCTAATACATGAAATGTACAAATGTATAACGTGTTCTAATATGTAACGTAAACCGTGAGCTTTGAATTATATCATTGTTTAAATAAAATTATTATTAATAAAAGTTAACAATATATTATAGGTTTTTCTTTAAAATTTTATTTTTTCATTAATTCATAGGTTATTGTAACAATTGTATTAGATTAATAATGAAAATTGTATAAAATTAAATAATAGTTCATTTTAATTTTATTATTTAATCTTATCTATTCTTATTTACAAAATATACTTTTTCGTTTTATATTTAATTACTTTGAAAAGAGATGATCAAAATTGTTGTTTTATATTTCTTAAATGTAAGGAAACTATTTCTAATACTTATATTTTTAATACTTTACATTATATTTATTTTAAATAACTCGAATCTCAAAAAATAACTTTGAGTTACGAATGAATTATATAACTAATATTTAATATATTATATTCACCATATTTTTCTAATCAAGTGCTAAGAATCACCATGTTCCCTTTAATTTTAAATCTTTTTAAATTCAAATCTTTGAAAATACAGATCACAGAACACTTAACATTACACTTCTTAGTCGAAAAGAAGAATTTTTTAAAGTGAAATAAAAAAAAAATTATTTATAAAATATATTATAAATTTATAATATTTTATAAAATAATTTTATATTTTCACGTATAATAACTACTTTAATAAGTATCTCCCTTAATAATCAAACTATGTCAAACTAATTTGATAAATGTGAGATACTTTACCAACGAGTAGATAGTAAATTTGCTCGATATAATCGATTCTTCCCCGGTCAACACACACAGTCCCCTTTGTGCGTCAGGTATTGCGTGAAGGCTGGCCAAGAATCATTGTTCTCGAGATATCGCAACGAGCTTTTTGAAGCGAAGACAATGGTATATGGCACGATTCCTATGATTGAACATTTGCCCGGAACGAAAGGCACGTTGCAATAGTGTGAAAGGAATAGGTCGAGTCGGATGTCAGGTATATTAGAAACTTTTCCTCCCTTTCTTTCCCGATTTAGAATTATTTATAGACTTTTTATTCGAGAATTATATCATTCGTATATCCCATTTGATTTCGTATCGATATTGTTAAAATATTATTATTTTTTTCTATCATTGTATCATTACAATAATAAAGATAAGATTAAATTAAATTAGATTTTTATTTGTGGGAATGAAAAATTGTCGAAAAGATAACTTTTTAAAGAAACATGAAAATTTTTTTAATTAAAATTGGTTACATTTTTATCTATTCGTACTTTAAATTCGTTTCATAATCTGGAAACGAAAATTTCTACAAGATTAGAATTTTGTTCATTTCTTTGTCAAATTGATTTCGAACCTCAAAATAATCATATTTAACTAAAAATCTTCTACACATATAAACGGCATTTCAACCTTATTTTTTTCAATTAAGTAATATTTTAAACGCGAAATTAAAATAAAAACATTTCATTTATCAAAAATTCCTCTTCCAAATTTCCCCAACCCCATCTCTGACCCGAACGAATCCTGTGTACAACGATAATACGTACGAAGGACGCGACTATCATCTGCAAAAAACAGATAGAATAGAAATACGGGAAAATTTAGGAGAGTGCAACAATCGCAGTAATATCTCATTCAACGATATTAAAGAAGAAATCGCGTTCGTTCGAGAGGAGTGTCCGTGGACAGGAAAGGGATGAGGTTCGAGGAAACCAGTAGAAAATGTCGACCGTAATGTGCAATCTACCTGCCGAACGTAAATCTGTTCCTCAGCCGCATAACGCCTCTCTCTAATCTTCGCGGGGGTGTACCGCACGCCATACAATCGACTCGCCCCTGCGAAAAGCAGTAAACCTGGCCACCTTCCATCGATGCTCTTATTCCTTTCCATCGCGCTAACAGCGCCCTCCATCGTGAGATCGTACACGAGATGTATCTATTGTGATTTATACGTTATTTATACGTTATTTATATGTTCTGTCTTGGTATTCTATTTTGTTTAGGTATTTTAGTTCGATAAAGTTCATTCGTGTTAATTGTTAATTGATTTTCAAGTCATGT